AGAGAGAGAGAGAGAGAGAGAGAGAGAGAGAGAGAGAGAGAGAGAGAGAGAGAGAGAGACCGAGACCCTGTGCTACATCTCTGGTGTCTGACCTAAAAAGATCCAAGAGGATTACAAATGAACTAGAACCGGCAGCATGCTAGTGCAGTTCTGGGGCCTTCCTGGGATTCCTGCGGCCAAAGCTCAGGCTCTGCTCTTGGGAGGGGGCAAAGGAGAGCGAGAGACCTTGAAGGGTCTTAGAAAGGGTAGAGGGTAGAGGGTTGGGGGCTAGGGATGCAGCTCAGGGGCAGAGCGAGCGCCTAGCATACAGGAAGCCCTGGGTTTGATCCCCAGCACTGCATAAATTTCACACAATGGCAGTGGAGCCTGTAATCCTAGCCCGTCGGGTGTGGAAGCAGGAGGACCAGGAGTTCAAGGTCATCCCTGGCTATGTGGTACGTATGAAGTGAGACTGTGCTTCATAGAACCTTATCAAAAACAAAACAAAAACAATGTGGTTAAGACAGACCAAGATGGAGCCTAAGAAGAGGCAGGGAATGGGCTGGGCTGAAATCAGTGAAGAAAAGAACAGCCACTGGAAGCCGAGACTTTGTAGGGTAGACACCTAAAGGGAGGCAGAGACAAGTGAACCGAAGCAGGAGCCAAGGAGGATTGACCCTACTGAGGGTCGCTGTTAAGTTGGTCAAATGAAGTTCTGAGGTGGGTGGGAAGGGGAACAGAGAGAGATGGGAAGACAGAAAGGTATGGCAGACAGAAGGACAGACAGATGGACCAGATAAGAGCCTCAGAGGACAGGAGACAGGGATACGCAGACAGATCCCTAGAGACAAGAGCAGAGAGGGGCAGAAGGGCACAGAAGATGGGATGGGCAGAGACAGCTCTGTGAGAAGCATCAGGCAGGGCATGGTGGCGCCCGTCTGTGATCCCCGCGCTGGGAGGCAGGGAAAAGACTGGGAAGCTACAGGCCAGAACGCGCTACAGGGTGAGAAAGTCTCTCTTTCAAAATGCCCCAAGCTGGGCGGTGGTGGCGCACGCCTTTAATCCCAGCACTCAGGAGGCAGAGCCAGGAGGATCTCTGTGAGTTCGAGGCCAGTCTGGGCTACCAAGTGAGTTCCAGGAAAGGCGCAAAGCTACACAGAGAAACCCTGTCTTGAAAAACAAAAAAACAAAATCAAAATGCCCCAAGAAAACAAACTGCGTATGGGGCGCACATGATTTCAAGGTCACTCTTGACTACTTAAGGAAGTTCCAGGCCAGCCTGGGCTAAGTGAAGCACTATCTCAATGGAAAAAAAAAAAAAAGAGAAAGAAAGAAAAGAAAAGATAAAAATAAAAAAGTGCCCCCTCTCCAAAACAACTCAGAGGAGAGTAAATTGGATGCAAGTGAGGGTAACAAGTCCAAATGGACAGAGGGGTATGAGTAATTGGGATGGCTGCCCCTACCCAGCCATGACACCTGCCACCCTCCCCACCCTGGCTGCTCCAACTGACCGGAGGCGGCAGGTGTGTGGGAAGGGACACAACTGCCTGGCATAATGCAAATGAGGTCATGAATATGCAGCAGCTCATTGTCTGGCCCTGCCCCCACCCCCATCTGCTCAGGCCAGGCCCCTTGGGTTGCAGGCAGCTCAGACTCTTTTATGGGGAGGGAAGGCAGGCCCCCTCCATGACTCCCACAGTCCCAGGAAAGTGGAGAGGAGAGAGCGAGGTCGATGCTCAGGCACCTGGCGGGTCTGGGGCTTACCTGGGTAGAAGTCTTTGGACTTAGATAGCTTGATGGTGGCTCCCGTCTCCTTCTGCAGCTGCACGATGGTCTGGCCACCTTTGCCGATGATGGAGCCGGCTGCGTAACTGGGGATGAGCACCTTCAGGAAGTACTCGCCTTCCTCTGCAGGGCATACAGGGGGGGAGGCAGTGAGCGAGGGAGGGGTCCCACTTTAGAAAGGCACCTCCAGGAAGATCCCAGCATGGGGCCCACCAAATCACAGCTTCACACTGTAGTAATGACCATGGCAACAGCAGTTAGAAAGAGAGCAAGCACAAAACCAGCTTCCCTCACTCACTCATTCACTCTTTTTTTTTTTTTTTTTTTGCAACAAAGTCTCACTATGTAGCCCCTGGCTGGTCTGGAACACACTATGCAGACCAGGCTGGTCTCGAGTTCACAGAGATCTTCCCGCCTCTGTCTCCCCAGCGCTGGGATTCAAGGTTGTGCACCACCATGCCTGACCTACATTCAATTTATTTTTTTTGAGACAGGCTCTCACACAGCCCAGGACGGACTCAAATTATGTAGTTGTGGATGGCCTTGAATTCCTAATCCTCCTCTCTCCACACCATATCCCAAGTACTGGGATCACGGGAGTGCACCACGATACTGAATTTATGTGGTGCTGGGGATGGAACTCAGGGCTCCATGCCTGCTGGACCAGCACTCTGTCGACTAAGCCACATCCTCAGGACTCATTCATTCATTCAACAAACAATGACTGAGCACCTGCTTGTATACATACTTGGCACGAATGCGGGGAAACAGTAAAAGCTTCCCGCACTCTGTGTGCAAATAAGGCCATGAGGATTGGAGTAAGCTAAGCTAGAGCTCGGACAATTACATTCTTCTCGAGAGGAAAGACCCCGGAGTTCATGCAAGACCAGAGGAAGTGGTGTGAGAGCAAAAAGCAGCAGGAAAAGGAATGGGGAGGGCAGAGGAGTACAAGATCAGATGTGAAGGCCTACCGAAGTGCACATCCTCAACATCACACACTTTCTTTTACTGTTTTAGGGTACTGGGTATTGAACTGAGGGTCTCTTGCAAATACTTTATCACTGAACCATGCCCCCAGCCCCTCACTGGGGGATTCTAGGCAGGGGCTCCACCACTGAGCCACACCCCAGCTCCTCACTGGGGGATTCTAGGCAGGGACTCTACCACTGAGCCACACCCCAGCCCCTCACTGGGGGATTCTAGGCAGGGGCCCTACCACTGAGCCACACCCCCAGCCCCTCACTGGGGGATTC